CAGTTTCTGAATTTGCTGAGACATATCTCCACTGACCAAAGGGAATAACTCTTCATGAAAAACAACATGCCTTGATATGAAAACTGCATGTGTTTCTATATCCAATAGTTTATAGCCCTTAAAACCAGTAGGATAGCCTATAAAGACACATGCTCTAGCCCTTGGAGCAAATTTGTGCCGTTGATGGGAAGAAGTAGAAGCATAAGCCAAACATCCAAAACTCTTCAAAGCACTATAATCTGCAGGAGTCTGCATCAATAGCTCAAAAGGTGATTTATTAGAGAGATGCTCAGTAGGAAGTCTATTGATGAGAAAAGCTGCTGTCAATACACATTCATTCCAATATTCAAGAGGAAGGTGTGACTGAAACATAAGTGCTCTGGCGACATTAAGAAGATGCTGATGCTTCCGTTCAACCACTGAGTTTTGTTGAGGAGTCTCTGGACAAGAATGATATGCAAGAATCCCCTTTTCTTTGTAAAATTGAGTAAAGTTAAACTCTGGAGCATTATCAGAACGAACTCCCTTTATCTTTGTATTAAACTGTGTTTCAATCATTGAAACAAAACCAGGTAATACTGTAGTTGCCTCTGACTTATTTCTGAGAAGATAAATCCATGTAGCTCTTGTGTAATCATCAACAATTGTCAGAAAATAGCGAAAACCATCATGAGAAGTAACAGCAAAGGGACCCCAGGTGTCAATATGAATCAAATCAAAAGCTTTATTAACCTTATTATTCCGAGATACAAAAGGTAACTTCCTCTGTTTTGCAAGATGACAAATCTTACAATGATTCTCCTCTGGAGTTAAAGCCTTAGAAACTGATACAGACAATAAACCAGAAAGAGATTGTAGCTTTTGATATGATGGGTGACCTAGTCTTTGATGCCATAAGTGTGAAGAAACTGTGATGGTAGCACAAACAGTCGGTGGAATTTGTTCTGATGGATGATATTGCAGGTCCAAGAAATAGAGCTTGTTGTGCAAACTACCCTTGCCAATGATCAATCCCCGTGTAAGATCCTGAATTTCACAACCATGAGAATCAAACCACAAACCACAAGAAATCTGAGTTGTCAATGAACTCACACTGAGCAAATGGAACTTAAATTGAGGAATGAACAAAACATTAGTGAGAATAATGTTTTCATTGAGTTTAATAGTTCCCAAACCATCAATTCTCACACCAATACCATTAGGAAGCTTCACTGTAGTGTCAAGAATAGGAATCATCTGTTGAAAGAGATCCTTATTATAAGTGACATGGTGAGTAGCACCAGTATCAATAACCCAAGTATCCATGTTATCAACCTTAGCAGATAAGGAATAATAATATGAGTCATTCTCACTTGTCATGGAACAAAAAATGGATGGAAGAGAGATACCAGTGAATTGACATATAGTAGGCTTGACTCCTGAGGTTGAAGCTTCTGCAGGAATCTCAGTTATAGTAGCATGTGTAGCTGTTGAATGCTGAGGCTGCAACTTTGAACTCAGGTAAGAAACCAAATGTTGAATTTGATCATTAGAGAGAGCAACACCTTTGTCAATATCTGAGACAGAATCAGTGATAGCTAAGTTGGTAGAAGCAGGTATGAAACGTTGGTTTGAGTTTGTGCGTTGGCTCTTTGGTTTCCAACCAACAGGATAACCAATGACCTTATAGCACTTGTCAGCAGTGTGACCAGACATTCCACAATGAGTGCACATAGCACGATTCTTTTGGAAAACCTGTTGTTGAGAATTGCCAATCTGAGCTTTAACTTGAAACGCAGAAGGATTGGGATTAGTAATGGTACGTTGTCGTTGAGACTCATCAGATTCAAGCATATTGTACATATCAGAGAGACTAGGTCGAGGCTTCATGTTCAAGATCTGACCTCTGATATTAGCAAAATCATCATTGAGACCCATAAGAAACTGAGTGATACGAGTTGTTTCATGATCTTCCAACAGTTTCAACACTTGAGAACAACGACATCCACCATTTTCCATTAGATTCTTAGTACAAGCAAGGCGTTCCCAAAGAGTGATCTTCTTGGTGTAATACTCAGAGAGAGACATAGCACCTTGACGAAGAGAACTTATCTCTTGCTCCAAATTATAGATCTGAGGGAGATTACTCTTATGATAACGTCTCTGTAAATCCTCCCAAATTCCTGCTGCATCTTGAAAATAGAGTATACTAGCATAGATTTGCTTTGAAACAACATTTAGGATCCAAGCTTTAACCATTGAATTACATCTAGTCCAGATCTTATATAGAGGATCAGATTCCGATGGTCTAGGTAGAGATCCATCCACAAAACTGATCTTATTCTTAGCCTCTAGACTAGTTCGCATAGTAACAATCCAGGAGTTGTAATTATCACCAGTGAGAGTTTCAGAAACAATAGACATACCGGGATGATCACTAGAATGGAGGTAAATTAAATGGATTATGATGGCTATCAATCGAATCTGAGTTCGCCGGTAACATATTCAACGAAGATCCTGGAGCTGATTTCTCAACATGAGAAGATCGAGTAACAATCGGTGATTCATCACCAGAATCCTGAGGAGAAGGTCGATTCCTGAGCTGCTTGGTTCCTTTCTTCGCCATAACAATGATCGGAACGAAGAAAGATGAACACGACAAGCTGAAATGAAATCGCCTAAGAAGAAATCGAAGAAAAAAGAAAAATTTTCCCGGAAAATGTTGATTTTCCCGGAAAACACAACAACTTTTTGAATGAGAACGATTTATTGCTCTGATACCATATTAGAGTTTAATAAACTTTATGATATTCTCATTTTAGATAATGTTGATCTGTACAACAGTATATATAGGCATTTACATGTATGTTTAACGTCTAACTATCAATTCCGTTATATACAAGTAACACTGTTAATATCACTGTTAAGTACTCTGTTTTATGTATCATGCTCTGTAAATCCTCATGTAGTGTAATATAAACTTCTTCAATTATTTTAATTAAACCAGTTTTTATTTTATTATTGGGTATATAGATTCTTTTCATAAGCTTTGCCCTTATCATCAGTACATCTATGGTGTTAATCTATGCATATCTAATGTATGGAGAAGAGGTGCAATCACAAATTACTTTAAACCTTCCAACTCATAATGGCAGCGCGGTGAGCCCGCTAACCAAATACGCATTAATCCTTTCCCCGATCATGGAAGCAATCAATACACGATTGATTCAAGCAAACTACAAAAGGAGAAGCGTCCGGATATCGACCGGAACCGGGCTGGTTTTAGGAACAATATTGATTGTACTTGTTGTGACGAGCTATTGATTGATGTGATAATAAATTAAACAAAACAAAAGATCAAGAAACTGCATCCTAATTAGCATAAGTGCTTACAAAACACACCAGTGTATATAAAATAAAAGACATTGTTCTAAATATAGCAGTTACTGCCAGTAACAAGGGTTATTGGAAGCCTTTCAAGTACTCTTGTCTTGAACGTTTGTAGCTTGACTTGTGCGCCCCAGTATCTCGAGAATCTCATCCTGAGATAATAAATTTTAACGAAAAAGAAAATGTTTCAGATAAATAAGATTAAAGAACAGTGATTGATTACGTGACGTGGTTTGTAGTAAATATAGAAGATGGTTGTAAATAAATTACAACCATATCTGCACATATCTTTAATTTCCTGAGGATCCAACCCGGTCCGCGAAGCCATTGATTTAATCTCGGTTAATGGCGGGTAATCTGATCATAATTAAACAAGAATCACACGGTTAATTTTACTTAAAAAGAATTTTGTGTAATCAGAACTACAACTACACGATCCCATATATATAAATTGAGCTAGCTAAATCCTAACTGAAATAAGTCGTAAGTCGTCGTAACAAAACCCTAACGATCGAGAAATCTACACGTGAATAAACAATTCGGGACTAATAAAATAGATAATATAATTAAGGAAAAGTGAGAATTAAGATGATGAGTTCCTTACAGCGTCTGAGATCAGTTTACATGTCTCCATCACCTCTAGCTTCTGATTCAAGGAAGCTCTATCCTTTTTAGTTGTCTCGATATGCTCTTCGCACTTACGTTCCAAGGAATCAATCTCCTTTTTAGCTTTCTCGTAAATCTCTTCCAGTTTCCAACGCATGATATATCGAGACGAGAAGAGAACCATGATCGATATAGCCACCGCTTCCGCCTACCCATTCCAGAATCATTGTTTTCGCAGACGATATATTGACGATCTAGATCGACGGGTTGATGAGACGTTTAGGTTTGAGACGGGTTCTGTGATTTTGATTTTCTTCTACTCAATGAGCGAGTTTAATTAGGTCTATATATAATAATATATAGGGTTACGTATGTAACACGCTCTCGTAGGTTAAATATGTATACTTAGGGTTTGAGGCTTTATTCGACTAATTGTTTTTTTTAAAAAAGGGGTTTAATTACTTTTGGTGGGTTTTAGATTTTCCAGGCTTTTATTTAATGAAATAATTTAACGAATTCTTCAAAAGCTTTCGAAGGATAATATCATTTTTATGTGGGGTTTCCATATTTTGAAGTTCGGAGAACAAATGGAAACTTGGAGGATAAGAAATCAAGATCAAGTACAAACTATAAAGTAAGTTCAGGAAACTCGTTTCGTAACTGTTCCATATTGCTCTTCTTGTGATATCTAATACAAGTAGACATCCTCTATGCTACTCTACCAAATCTGATCAGCAATGTAAAAGTAGCTTCTTAGAATACTCTGATTTAGTTCCAAGGAGTATTCAATTGTCAATTTTGAAGCTAAGCTTTATCTTTGTTTATCTCTTGGAACAATTCTGATTAATGGGTTACGACAAGTTTGAGGTCTTCAAGGTTTTATCTGTTGATTTGATACTTGGGAGATTTTGTGCAATAAACTACAAGGACAAGTTTTGAAGCGCCCAAGTGCAATATCGACATCAAGTTTTGCACATGCTCTAAGTAATGCACAAACTACTTAGAGATGCTTATGTTAAGTGAAGTTTGGTTCCTCTCAGACAACATGTTTATTGGTGCAATAGCAAACCCGTCCTATTGAGTACCATACAACATCAAACCAAAACAAACAAGAAGAAATGTGAATTTGTTGGACATTATCTTTTTGCCAGCAATACTTTAAACAATTGCTACGGCAAAAACTGTTTTAGCAAAAGAAAAACAATCCACAAGATCATCCTTCATAGCATCGACTGGTGAACCATCAACATCTTAGCGCCATTGTATACCAACTCTGCATCATCTGTACGGTCAAACCAAACACAACACGTAAACCGGCTCAGCCCCGATAAAACCAATATTTGTATGAGCTAACCGAAAGTTAAAACTCTCATTTATATTGCATACATAACTAACTCTTTACCATAAATAAGATCCAACTTGAACTCAGGAGGCACATTATCATCTGACTCAACCGCTGCTTTAGCTGAGGCAATGCCAACTGCTAAACTCTGGATTAGATCTAACCCATGGCTTAGCGATGCGACTGTGCCGCCTACCAGACAATCACCTGCACCAGTCAGCTTCTTGACTTTGGCTGGGATGGTTGGGAAATGCATTGCAAAAAGACTCGGGCTGCGATTCGATCCTAATTCAGAAAACCTGTTTGGTGAACATACAGATTGTACTCTTTTGAAGATCTCTCCACTTCTTGGAAACTTTCTGTTTAAGTTCAGAGCCATTTTCGGGTTTCCCTTGGAGCAGAGGAGAGCTCCATTGGAACCAAGAGTTACGATAACTACTTTAACATCATTGTCAAGGAGAACCAAAATGGCTGGCTTTAGCGTGCAGAACATATCTTCAATAGAAAGATTATTTTCTTCTAATCTAAAGGGGTGGAAAATTTTCTTGGCGCAGAGAGCGTTTGCCAGGGTTATAAGTTCGTCTTGGTTTGGGGACACTATTGTTACCTGTTAGGAAACAAAACCTATATCCGTTGGCTTGCAAATATATTACATAGAGAACGAAAAAGAATCTAGCTTTCATGAGGCACTCACATACTTGGCAATTGAGGCAATCCTCTGCGACTTTGTGACTGACACGGGCTCAAACCATACAGGAACATTGAACTCTGCAGCCACTTCAAGAAGAAAAACGTTAAGAAGACATACAAAAAAGATGATTAGACAATCCAAAATGAGAAACTATAAGCATTACATTTGCAAGATGCTTCCAAAGCAAGAGTGCTAAGATTTGCATCTACCATAAGAAGAGGAGCAGAGCTTATGTTGTATTCGAACCGCTGGATCCACTCAGGTGTCAGAAACTTTTCCTGTCCGAGGAAACAATGTAAATGTAACTTCTCCAAGCAAGTACAACAAGAACATCCTTCAAACCCAATTTATCTTTTGGATTGAAACATAAACATAATCACTGAGACGAGTATTCTTACAACGGCATCCACACCAGCAACACCAGCGGCAACTTCTCCATTAATGTCATATACAAGGGACACGATGGGAGTACTAATGTCTTCACGTCGCAAGATTCCTGCCATTATCGACCAAGAAAAGGTCTATGTCTCATAGATAGATAAGTAAAAGCACAAAAACTGAATCCGGCATCAATTGCTTAACTAGATATCGCAAAAACTGATCCGTTCTTAAGGAAACCGCAACAAGTTAAGAGGCAAAGTCTTACCTTCAATGGAGAGCTTCCACTCCTTCAATAATACATTGGCTGGGTACAAAGGAAGCAAAAAAAGAGTTTTAGAAACTTGGTTTCTTAAGAAATGAATCGATGATACTATAAATAGACATACCTGGACCATCAAGGCCCAAAGTACCAATCATAAAAGGTGTAATTCCAAGCTTGAAGATGCACTCAGCTACATTTCTTGCTACACCACCCGGCGCAAACAAGACCTATTAAAGAAAAAGATTACATGTTAATTAATTCATCAACATCTATGTTCTAATTAACAACACATAATTGTCACACTTGTGGTTAAGAGATCGTTAAAACTACTCCAGCTTTCGAGAAAAAAAAAAAAAACAAAGGGACGAGCTGATCCGGAACTATTGAATTTTTCTTCCAATTGCAGACATGACTGGATTAATTGCCGGATTGTGCACAAGAAATCAAGCAAAAGAGAGAGACTTAGAACCCAAATTCAAAACCTGGCCAGGGACGGTGGTTCCTGAGATTGGTGCGGTGCAAGGCTTGGCGTGAACATCCAAAATCAGAGCACCGATTATCACCGGTTCCATTGATGAACCCCTCGCAGACTTTCTTCGTTTCTCAGTTTAAATCCTCACTGTAGTCACTAAACTGATAGATCTGTCGTTTTATCTTGTCTCCGTCTCCTTTCTCTTTCTCTCTCTTTTTTTTTTTTTTTTGTTTTGACTCCATGACTCATAGGTTGACCTACTTATCTTGACAATGTTGATTGTGTAAAAAATTTAAAATCTTAGTATAAATTTAAGAAAATTGTTATTACTATTATATAAAATCGATTTGAATTAAGTATACTAGTGTCCTGAGTAAAGTGAGATTTAGGAGAGATTCCAAATTTGTTCATACCTTAACAAGAAGCATACGATGTTGTTCTTTTACAATTCTTGTAGCTTATGTTCACCAAGCAATGTGAATGATAAAAAAATATTGCTATGAACTGCAATAGATCCAATATTCGTTTGACACTGCTTGGTCCAGTTTAAGGACTACTGAATGACCAATTCGTCAGTTGTAGATGGATACCGTGAGAAGCAATATCAGAGGGGAAGCGGAATGAGGAGTAACCAGAAAATTGTTCATCCACCACAAATTCCCAATGTTGTGTGCCATATATATTAACATTGTCAAAAGAGGTTCGAGGAGCTACCATTTGATTGTGATATAATATATTGACCGATCCAAAATCTTCAGAAATCTTTTTTTTTTTTTTTAAATACTCTTCTTTTACACGTTAATAGAATATATTTGAGATTATCATCAGCAGTGAATCAAATAAATTGTTTTATAACGTATGGAATTATCAACAAACACGTGACCATTTCAACCATTGAAAGTTGATAACAACAATAATCAATAGATCATACAAATCACAATAGCTTGCATCTCAAGTTATCCAAAATCCCAACACCACAACACTCCTACCTTTCTCTTTTGTTACTTCTTTTTTTTTTTTTGGTGCATAGCAAAACCCTACGATAAAAATATATTAACAAAAAAACAAATCCTCAATTTCCTCTCAAGTAATTAGTCAGAATGTCCAACCGAGAGAAGACAAATATTAGCAAATCGAAATACTCAAGATGATTTAAAGATTTTTACCTGCAAATTATATAACTCTGATTTCAGATATCATTAAGGTCCCTCTTGTTCTTCTTACTTCTCGATGCCTTGTTGCAAATACTGAATCAAGTCGTATCCAGCAGTAGTCCACTTGTTATATGCGTCCGTACATACATGAATCATGAAGTGTGCAGCTTCACGTTCGCTCATTTCTGGGTGAAATCTTTTCCTAAGATTACCAATTGGATCTCCTCTGCTAAAGCAAGGCAATCCACTTTCTAGCATCATTTGAACAGTGCTGATGATTCCGTCCATCTGCCGCCGAGCAGCTAAGTACCCCTTCACGCACAAGCTCACAAACTGATGCCATGTTTTGCTTTTCATAACACCCGACGGATCTAGCAACTGGGTCATTTCGTGGCTCAGTTTGAAATGAGCACTCTCGAACCGCATGTTTCCACCAGGTGAAGTTTCCAAAATGAAACCAAAGTCGATGTGGACAAGTCTTCCCACGCTGCATTAGCATATAACACATGGTAATAAAGTTGTGTTACTTCCATGAAATTTCCCACATTATCTTTTTCCATAGTGAGTTTTTGATTTTTTTTTTTTTTTCCATTGCACCAAGTGAAAAGAACAAAGGAAATGCACAAACTAGGAAACGTACTCATCGAAGAGGAGATTTCCATTGTGTCTGTCTTTGGGCTGGAGTAAAAGACTAGCCACTGCGTAACCGGCACTGCTGATGAGGAAGTTCTCTCGTGCTGTTTCAAAGGTGGTTGAGCCGACGGGTCCATAGTCTTGTTGAAAAATCTCATACAAACCCCCGTCGGTAGTTTCACCCATTTGACTTCTGCTTCTTGTATTAGGCACAACCTGTAAATAAAAGGGAAGAAAAGAGATACGAAAAAAAAGTCTGAGCCTTATTTGATACAAGAAAGTTCTCATACCACCGTATCTACATCATCCAGCTAGGATATTAAACAATTTAGAGTGAGTTTTACCTCAATTATGCCCCTCTCCGCACCAGTTGGGAGTACTCCATATGGAAAAAGATAAAGATTAAGACCAGCCGCTTGAAATATGTCTCTAAGAAGAGATATCACTTGAAGGGCAAGAACATCTTGCCGGCAATCATCTCCAACCTGAATGGATACAAGAGAGAATCATCAAACTCACAGTAAACACCATCTGAGTGCAGCATCTGAATGTCCAGAAACCACTAGCTACGTTTTTTTGTCAATGTTTTCCAAACTATATTTACTTAAACAAGTGGTAGAGCCTGGCAGGAGAATTGTTTTCTTTTTTCTGCACTGGCAATTACTATAAGGAACAACAAGTAGAATAGCTTTCACGTCGACCTACAAACATAAAATTTTATATGAAAATCATGTGGAGGCTTACCTTGAAAATGCAAGCCTGTGGTTTTACATCATTGTGGTCACCATCACGATCAACAACGTTAAAAGTTATCATAATAGGGACTTTGGCAGCTGATTGTAAGGGTATTCCACTGTCTACACGGATACCCCTAACAAGCTTGTTAGGAGCAGTTGGCAAATAAAGGTCATCTCCCTGCATTTCAATTTTCTCCAACTCCCTGCCATGGAGAGTATTAGACTACCATGCATCTAATACATGCAGACACATCCGTAACATGATATGGTTTATTAAATTTAAAATGCTACCTCCTAATACCGGCTCTGCGTTCTTCCTTTGGAAGAGGAAATAGCACCCCAGAAATAGAAGTAACCTTGTCAAAGAAGTCAAACTCTCTAGTGAACATGTCCAAGGCATTGGGACTGAAACCATCAATGATATGCTGCCGAACCACTGGCAAAATTTCTTGGAATGCCGCATTCTGAAATATTACAGAAACAAGAGATAAGCTCAGATTTTTTCAGCAGATCAGTCAAAAGATATACAACGAAGATTTTACCACTATCTATAGCTTAACAACCTACTCTCTGTCTCACTACATCTTTTCTCCAAAAAATTATTTCCAAGAACAAACTTATGCTAATACAAAACAATAAGCAGTCATAAAACCCATTTTCCAGATCTTGGAATTAAGTGCTTATAAACCAGCGGTCAACATGCTGAATCAAGGATATTTTCAGCGTTCTATCACATGTGAAGAATAACCTAACCAAATACTTCGCAGATGTTTTCTTCAGGAGGCCATATTTTGCAACTGTAGGATACTGTTTTCCTCAAACTAAGGAGATGAAAGATTGTCTAGCCTAAGATGTAGACTCCACATTGGAGCTAACACCAATAAAATATAAGCAGAAAATATAATAATGGGCAAACCTTATCGATAGAACCATCCTTCGGAGTTTCCTGAACATTCTCACCCTGGCATTATTAAAGACAGAAGTTAGAAAGCAACAAATCTCTAGAAAGGTTTCAAGCAAAATTAAGATCTTGCAAAAGTCTACTAGGTTATACTTACCTGCAAATGCCAAATGAGAATATGGGCAAATATGTCACTTCTTTGGGTAGCTCTAAGAAGATACCCTTCAACTAGCCTCTGCATTTAAAAAGAAGTTGAATTGTTAAATATCTTACGAAACAGGAAAAGGGAAAGAACTCATGTAAGGCATTACACAATATCCAGCCCCAGTAGAAGGGCAATTTCCATAGCATTTGAAGATAAAACTATGACAAGAAAAACCTCGAGCGATTGAATGGCTCAACTACAAAGAGATAGACCTGGTTTTTAAAAATGTGAAGCTGATAATCCAATACTAATTTTAAGAAACGTAAAAGTAATTTAGTTTAGATAAAAGACCAAGAAAAGAAAAGGTTGAATGGGCTGGTCATTCCAATTTTTAGCACCATGGTTGGAGGAGTTCTGGGAATTGCTTCTACACCCAATGGAAATTTCTATTTCGAAGACTAAGAAAAAAACCACATATAAAAGCTGAAATAGACGACAGAAAAAGAGGTATATATGATTTAATTTCAATAATTAAGATGTGCCTTCACTAATCTTATGAGCACAAACCGAATAATATAATTCAAATTGCTTAGAGAAAGAGAGAGAGAGAGAGTGTGTCATGTTTGAGAGAAGTGCCATTAAATATATAGATTTTCATGATAAGACTTACCCCTTCATCATAGCGCAAAGACTGCACCAACTGCGGCATGAAAAAAGTAACTCGCTCAGGAGGGTAGGACTCTAAAACTCGTAGGACATATGCCATGACACGTGGATGTCCCTTATAAGCAGGCGTGAGGAACTCAAGAGCCTGTGTAATTGAACAAGCAGCCCAGTGCGGTAGCTGCTGCAACAGCACTGAGTTCTCTTCAACGTTTTTTGGTGTAACAAAATACGGCAATGCCTCAGCAATTGTACGAAGATCTACTATATTTGTCTGCAAGAAAGAATATCAGTGAGAACGCTCATTTTACATCATTTACATATTAAGAAATATAGCCATGGTATCAAATTATTATTTTTATATACCAAGAGGTCCAGAGCATGTACTGTCCTACTAAGTAGCACCGAAACGGGTACGGGAACTAGAAACGGGTACGGAAACGGGGACGGAAAACGGCAAAATAAAAATTCATAGATACGGGTACGGCATGGGTACTTCAATAAAACATATACATATATATATATATATATAATACCCTTAAATATAAATATAAGTCTCAACATAATTTTTTTTTTGATTTAATATTCTAAATAACATAAAAAAGCTTAATATTGAGGAATTGATTTTCAAAGATCTGGATCATCTAAAGGTTGGAAAACTCAAAGAACCTCATATCTTCCATGGAATCTTATGTTAAACCCCTAGAACATGCCTTTTAATTCCTTTTACGTTTGAGTTTTTTGTAGGAAAAATAGTTAAGTTGCCTATTCTAAAAGGAGGACACTTAATTTATTTCCAAAAACTCATTGGAAACGTCCCCGTATATGTTCCCTCACGTTTCCATTTTTTGCTTGACGTCCCTAACTACTCTGAAACGTGGGGGAAACGTTTTTAGGCTGTCCCCATCAAGTACCCGTCCCCGAAACGAAACTGGGACGTGAGACGGCTGAAAATTAACGTCCCCGTGCATCATAGCTGTCCTAGCAATCTGATTCTCAACATAAGTTTTAGTTCTTCAATAAATATTTAACCAAAAGTACCATGGCGGACTTTTTCCCAGTTGCATTATGCCTCACTGGTTTTGTGTGGTGGTGCAACCCCAGCTCTTTTAAAACTTAATACCAGAGATACAGTATATCCATCTCAAACTACAAAATGTAAAATCTGTCTTTCTACAGTCTTAGAAAGTAGCAGCTGTAAATTCATACCTGAACCAGCTGAGTGACTTCAGATTTTACAGAAGCATTTGCCGGAAATCTTGAGGCGACTGATAAAGCAATGCGAGGATCCACTGCAAAGGCCGTTTTAGCATATTCGGTCCATTTCTCAGAGCTTATTTTAAGCCGCGAATATGGACTGTCCCTGTACATACGTTGCCACTTGGAAGAATGAATATCAAAAATGTAAGTCAAAGAAAACGACTGAGAAGTGAAAATGTGATACAAAGATAGCGAGTTTTACTTTGAACTAATAGGTTGTGCCCAAACGTCAAGCCTGTCAGCTTCATGCTGGCAGAGCATTAAAAGCAACTGCTTCCTTTTTTCTTTTCCCACAGTGTAGTTGTCCATCTCACCCCAGACAGGATGATACTGATCAGTCTGTAAACATCCAGCCCAAAGAAATATCATTGTTTGTAGTCAAATTTACAGGTGAAAGTAGAAAAAATCGCAGATCGTTGTCTTACCACATCAATCAAATTCCCACTTTCACGAGGTTTTCCTTTGGAATCAGATTGACTTGATTCTGATAGCTCGTTTGATAAAAAGTGAACAAAAACTGAAACAGATAGAGCCTCGCTCTGACAAAAATTTGGAATATTTACATCATACCACTCTGGCTGATGAGCAAACCAGCCTAAAGACGTCCTGGAATAAGTTGATGTGCACAAAAATAAAAATAGAGGTAAGTCAGAGATAATAAAATTGACCAAAGCAACATTATTTAAGTATTTTGAAAACACAGAAAATTCCATGTTGGATGGCTAAGATGACATAAAGCTTAAAATGTAGCTACTTCCAAATTGTTCTCAGCATATGATATAGCTATTATCATAGCAGATACTAGTCCAGGCAGTTCAATGTGTTGTGCAAAGGCAATTTATGTTAAATCCTACATCCGACAAAACACTAAGAGATCACATGAACATTAATATTTAGTACATTGTAAATAAAGGGACGAAAAGAAAAATAATCAGATGCGTGCCGCCAAATCATAGAGACAGGCTGAGAGATGTCCATAAAGAAAGCGTAACAAAATGTATAGTGCAAGAAAAAACAAAGGAAATCCGCAAAAAATTACCTGTAGATTCGATCTTCTAAGAGCTGGAGTCCAGATCTAAATTTCTGCATATTGCCTTGTGTTTGGCATGAGCAGAATTTCAGTCCAAGGAGCATCAAAGAAAAAAAGGTACCAGCAGCTGCAGGGTGGCGAGTAAAGCACCAGTCAAGGTCTGTACTCCGTTGTAACATCCGACCTAGCAGCAACAGTTGCTCCGCACTATTATGTCGAACAACCTAAAAAAGCATAGTGGCAATAAGAAACTCACTCAAATATCGAATATCTGCTTCCTTGATGATCAGTAAGCAAAATTTTCAAGTGAAGCAAAATTACTTTAGACTGCAATTTGTCACCTAAGGTCTTTCACAGAAAAGTGAAATTGATTCAACTAGGAGGATCACAAGAAAACTCAGCACTTATAACACTTAAGACCGTCTTAACCAATGTGGAAGAAGAATGAGGTAAATCACACATGAGTACCCTCTGTATTAGAAAAAGTAAAGAATAAATCCTAACCTCAAAACGATCAATCAAAAATCCAAGCCACAGTCTGTGAGCGACTATCTGCTCAACAGGGTCACTTTCCGGTGGATCTTCTGGTTCCCCTGGGGAAAGATGGGGTCTTAATTTTGCAGCTGGGCCAGAGTATCGTACATCAGATGCAAAGAGTCCTCGCTTTGTATCAATTGTCCATATCCATGCATCAACAAGCTCGGCAAGGACAAGAGATACCAGTTGAGGAGCAGCAGAGACCAACCAGGTCCATATAAAAATTCCAGTTTCCATAGCATCTGGAGTAGATATATATGCTGGACACCAACAAAGGAGACGCAGTAATTGAGAAAAGCCTTCGACATTTGTTTTCGACTCACCACCCTAATGCAACAATAAGAGAGATTAGAATGTACAGCACAAAATAGCTGGTAGATATCACATTTACTGGTAAGAAAAATAACCCCTTTTGTTCTTGGTAAGAAAACCTTACCAGGTTTGACAGAAGTAATGCAGTTGCTTGGGAACAAGTTTCTCGGAATTGCGACTTCTCCACCTCTCCACCCTTTTCAGCAGTATTTACAAATTGCTGAAGAAGACGCACAAACCTGGCAATTAACATCTCATTAAATGAATCATCTTCTGGTTGTGGTGCCTGGGAAAATGCTCCAGATATTAATCTTTGAAGGCCACCACCAAAACCACTAGGTGTCGAGCCAGATTGAAATCCACCAATACTGTTGTACAACCTTCGCATGCCAGCAATTTCTCCAGCATGGTTGCACTTTACCGTTGCACTGACTACACCAGTACCAAGTACTTCCAAGTTAAAGGCTTCAGAAACTTTTAAGTTTGCCCCTGACGCTGCAGCTGCTGCAGCCATCACAGCTGGGATATTAGCAGTTCTTATCCCAGACCAAAGTTCATTTTTTCCAGTTCCAATTTTTATCTCAGATAGAAGAGAAACCACATCAGTTGTAGTTTGTGCTCGCTGCCATGTGTTTGCTTTGCACAGCTTATCCTGAGGTTCATATTAAAAACAAGAGACGGAATGTGAATCTCTATTATAACTCAAAAGGAACAGCAAGAACAATCTAACCAGAAACCAAGGATAGCGCTCTGCTATGAGAATATAGACAAAAATAATCTAGAGGAACAACTTAAGTGCCTACGTCCAAAGCTTTTCATAGTTCGTTTGTGAACGAAAAACAGACTGTACATCTGAAGGGACCAAGGAATCGTACAGAAACATGAAAAAGCATTTACGGTAGTTAGAGGGAGAGAAGGACTGAAGTCCAGCTGCTTTAAGCATTTTAAGAAAACAGAGGAATCGATAAATAAAAACGAATTAGTTAGAGACAGTAGAAGGAATTAAAACATGGCACTGCAACAGAAAAGAGACAGGAACTACATCTCCACAGTGGGTTTCATTTATAATTGTTAAACAAACAGATTGACTTGAAGAAATAGAACGCTATAAAAAATAAAGATATTTAAATGAGCATATAGAAGACAATATGTATTGGCAAAAAGAAGGAAACCTGAAGCAAACCCTGACTGGTGCATGGAGCATATGAAAGTGATATTATGATCCATTCTCGTACAACTTTCTGGTATAAGGATCGAACAGCAGCAGTCCAAGCAGGATCATTGACAACAGTTGAAGGTGTATTGTCATGAACTGAAAACAGCAAACTATCCAGACATGACGAATGCCAGAGGACCTGCATTTTCTCATTGTTAGTTGATCTACAAAGCATGGGGATTCCAGAAGAACAGTTGAAGAAGGCAACAGCAAACAAACATTTCCTGGAGGTATACTCCAGCACACACATACAGAAGGCAAACACCGATAGTAAACAGAAGGAAAAAAATATCTAATCAATTTACAATGGAGAGAAATTATGTAGGAGGAAGTAAACCGTGACCAAAATCTCTATGGTAAACAAAAGTGAAACAGAAATCACAAAACATTTTAAAGTGCATAAAAATAAACAGACTACACCACTGATGTCTAATGTAAGTGAATTGACCAATTTGTAAGAGATCAAAAGAAAGAAAAACAATACGAACAGCTAGATTCAAAAGGAAAAAGATCTGCAATGGGTAACACATGAAATTTTTGCACACAAGTGAGAAGAAAAACACATAAGGATCAACCAAGTAACTTTTGTTCCATGTAAAACTAAATGTGAATTATAATTAGAATTATGAGGTTCGGGTATTATTCCTGGTATATCTTCTGTAAATACACGCATTGGAAAAGCAATCAAGACTAAAGATAACTCTATCTCTCCATTATCAATGTGAGTTACTCATATATGCACTATATCACCTCGTTTCTCTCTTACAGAATGGTGAACCTACATATAATCTTTCGAACGAGAGAATGTAGACCCATATGTTTTTACCTGAGGAAATTTGTCTCGTAGCTGAGTCAACAGGTTCACAGAGATATCTCGGACGTGCTCATCTCTCTGTGACATGCTCTTTATGAGGAAACATGCATGTGCATATGTTGTCAGTTCTCTATTACGAGCATCTTTCCCAGTAAGAGATATTCGATCTTCCTGAAACCAAATGAAAGTTTCTGTAACAGATATATACTGTTTAAATGAAGAAGCAGCAAAAACAGAAAAGCAGAGCTAGTGTTGGTAACAAAAAGACCAAATTGCATATACAAAGGGACAGAATGATTGCGCTAGAGTTGCCACTAAAAGGTCTTTGCTAAAATACTATGACCAGGTAATTCCATACCAGCCATGAGACTGCTGTTTCAAAGGCTCTATGCACAATTGCCGTCAAACACTGGGAAACAGCAGGAGTAAGATTTGGAGTTTTCAGATATTCGAACACACAACTGAAGGCACTTCTAGAGGCAGATACACTTGAGTCACCATTAAGGATACCCCCGTTGCTAATAAAACGTATGATCTCCAAAAAAGCCACAGCAAGCAAATAGGTAGCCTTCACCCCTGAAAGAATTGAAGAAAGGGATTCCTAAGTATCTAAAATATCACAATATCACATCAAAGTCCATCTAGTAGATATTGTAAATAACTCCCCATTTGGTAACCTGAGATTGTGTTCATTGCTGCAACGTCAACTCTGCCACCTAAGGCAGTTGAAAGAGCAAGTCTCTGGGTTGAAGCTACTTTCTCATTTCCATTTCCTCGGCGGCTACCAGGATTGTGAAGCGCATTGAGTTCTAATTCGTCTTCAAGCCATTTTACTGAACTGACGACCTACGAAGAGCAATGCTCAATCAGATAAGATTAACTAAAGACTCCTGGGAGATGTGAGATTCAGTTTTAGTAGGTTAATAATACAGTGAACCAAAAATTAAACTCTGAAGATGACCTTCTAGACTGACTTACAAGGGGGGGAGTGCCTTGAGCAATTCGCTGAACAGCTAGGGCCCACTGAGTGTTCCACAAGTAAGGACCTCCCACAGCTTGCAAAGCAGTTGCACTCATGCTTCCCACACTGTTCACTGAATTGGAGGTTGACTTCAGGGGTGGTGTAGGAGTTTTCACAATAGGAGGTGCTAAGCCAAAGAGGGCTATATAAAACCAGAGATTGCGAAACAACTTCAAAAGTGAAGGTTCCACATCCGTAGTAGGATCAAAATCTGAACATATTTCTGCAACAGCGGGAAGAAGAGGCCCTAAAAAATCCACACCACTCCTAGCAGAAATGAAGCACACAATAAATATTCCAGTCAGTACGAAATATGAAGGAAAAATGTTTTAGGTGGAGAAACATTAACTGAATAATTTCCGATTATACTAAACTTTTAGGCTAGATGGACTGCGGAAGATGATTGATATATCTTTACGTTAACAGCATGAACACACCATTGGTTGTTCATCCAATACTTAGCCCTTGCTGGAAACATGTTGTAGCCAGCAAAAGCTATTGCCAGTAGATTTCTCAAAAATTTGCGCACATATTTTTATCCCCAAATATTTATTCGACAGCGAACACTTAACCCAAAAACAGTTAAAGAAACTCAAATTTTAGACAAGCTAAGATCATATACTTACCCTCCACTTTTGGACTCAGCAGCCAAGCCTACATCTGAACACAAGGAAAGCAAACGATGGCGGTAGTCCGAACGCAATTTTGTATCCATAAGACCACTGGCAATTGTAAGAAAACCTGCAGGAAGAGTCTACACGACAGTTGGATTTGTGAGCATCAGTATCATAGTAAAAGTAAAAAAGAAACACAACAAACTACCATGTATCAAATGACATATACCTCTACACGCTCGGTTGTGGCTTCCGGTGCTGACGTTTTGCTTTCTACAGATCCTACACTCGATAATTTGCTCAAATAACTTCTGGTCATCAGAACTACTGTCTCACGGTAAGACTTATCAAACCCTAATGTTGCTATCCTAGAAACAGCATCAAGAAGCTGCACAAATTGGCATAAATGCAAAAGTAAATATGTCAAAAAAATCAAACGAAAAAGGATATAGATGGTAGCAGTTTCTGCCATTGCTAACTTTCGAGGAAGTAGTATATAATAGGATACTAATCGATAGTCAGCCAGGTATCACTGTAGAAATTGGAATCGTACTTGGAGTCGCAAAAAGCTAGGACTCGAAGCATCACCCTCTTCCAGGCTTTCAATAAAAAGTGGTAAAATCATGTCAGCTACTTCCGGCTTCTTAACAGCAACATTGAGATCAGCTAGCAGCCGAATCACATTAAGCTGTACAGCAGGTACTTGCTTCTCTCTATCAACCTGGACACCAAATGATGAGCCTTATTGAAAGATGAAATTGCAATTCAACACAAGAAAGGCTAATTAACCAGCTAAAGGAAAGGAAAAATTATTTCTCCACCTGTTCTTCATAATCATTTCTTTCACGAATACTTGAAGCTAACCCCGAAATGAAGTTGTCCACTGGAGCCCGGTCCTTGGCCCAGGCAGATTCAATAATCTCACAACTAGTCTTAAATACGCTCTCAAGCATAGCCCCTTGATTGCCAACCCAAGTATCTGGCTGTTCCAAGAGACACTAAAAATAAATAGAAACTTCCTTCAGTAAAGTAAAGGTAAAATGTCCAGAAGACTTGTGACATGATGTGTTGGATAATACTTCTATGGACCTTCAGACATGATCATCAGTAGTTTAGAGTATGTTGCTCATATGAGTTAAGACATAACAAAATTACCTTTGCACAGACAGCCAGTACCAGTGGTTTAAGTCGGATGAGCAACCCGCGAAGTGGCTGCCCTCCTCTTGCCACTGCAATCTTCGCAATCCCAGAAAGCAGAGAATCGAACAGTTCTTCACAGGCCTTCATTTTCCGCCACACAGATGTCAAGCAGGCATCTGCAGCATCTAAAAGCAATGCAAGCGTCTCCAGGACCAACCTTTTAGAAGTTTTTCCATCTGTTTCAAGAGACACCAGGCTCTTGATTTTCATTTTAGCTGCAGCCTGATAAACAGACAGCATTGCATTGACTCTAGTTTTCAGAACTGGGCCTTGTTCGTTCCAGTCTCGCTTTGTTGACTGAAAAATAAAAGGCAGAAACAGAGTCATCATCTCTTCTAAGAAATCCTACTCCACTCAAAATCGGCAAGGTAAGCACCATCTCACAAACCCTCATGAAAACAAGCCAAATTTAGACTGTAAAAGGGAGTATGAACCAACAATTGCTTCACCAAGATATCTCCTCTCTAGCATTCCTAATTAAGGACCTATCCTAGAAAATACCATAATATATCACCAAAAGAAAAGCATTACCTTCAGAAATGCAGACATGGTCTGAAGCTTCCTCTTGGCTATAATTCTCACTTGATCCTGAAGTTTGGAATCAATTTTAACTTTCTCCAAAATATGGGTTATCAATCTAAAGGCAATCTCTTGCTTCTCCAAGCTCTCAATGGATTCGTCTTCAAAAGAAGCCACTAGTTGTCTAAAAACAGGGTTAGCACCTCCACTCCCCTCGCTAAATCCAAAGCTCAGCTGATCAACACCAATCTTCCATACAATACTACCCCCATCCACCACTACAGACGATGAACTCTTAGAGGATACATTGGAACCATGGCTAGTTCCATCGTCGCCAGGACTAGAGCCCTGAGACGACGAGGTTTCAGTTTCAGAGTTAGCCGAGTTCTGTTGCCGCTGGTCCTTGGGAGAGGCAGGAGCACGGTTCACAACAAACTGATCAAGCAGCATTAAAATCAACTTATCCCCATCAGATTGCAGAATCGACGGAAAATTCTGAGAAAGTGCGACCAAAAAAGCCTTAGAAATTGCTGGATCCCCGTCGCTCACACCAGAACTCGGTGCAATAGCGGCTATCACAACTTCCCCTGTAAACCTAGCAACCTCGGTACCAAATTCCGGCGATAGATCCGCCGCACACGAAAGATAACTCAAGAAATCACAATAAAACGAAGAGATCGACTGCGAAGGAAACGAATGCGGCCAGAAGGAACGGCGGAACGATGCAGGTATAGCGCTGAGAAACTCATTCACGACGGATTTGGCACGATTATCGATTGATTCTGGATTTTTGGAGATGATCCGAGCAACGGCTAAAACCGCGTTGAGATGACTCCGAGAAACCCTGGGAGAATCAGCGAGAAGCCATTCCGTTTGTGGACAACGACCGCATATCCAAGCTAACTTCTCCGAGAATTGCTTCGGATTCTCTGCTATAATGTCACAAAGCTCCGTCAGTGCCTCCATCTCCGATCACAAAAAAAAAAAAAGCCAACGCTACGGGAAAATTAGCTGGAAATAGGGAATTTTCGCGATCAGATCTGCCTGAAGATCGAGTCAAAATCTAGTAGGATCCAACAAGAACGGGAAAATCATAAATGTGAGTGTAGAAAGAATTCAAATATCTTCAATTCGTGTCGCTGTGTGGGAGGAAGAAGAAGCAGCCATGGAAGGGCTTGTGGGTCGCCTGAGTCGCCATTTAATTTTGTCCCTTCCCTTCCCTTTTTTTTTTCTCTCTCTCTTTTCTTCTTCGCTCTCGGGTCTCGTTGATAATTTTGTCTGTTGTGGAGGATGTACGAAAGGGTAAATTGGTAAAATCTTACTAATATCGGTATAACCGGTCTGACGATAGTGAACAGCACACGGTTTATTTTATGAAATCAATTGGTGAATTTTTCAAAAGATCTGACTCTGGAATTGAAAATTTGGCAGTTAAAAACATGCGTGCATGATTCATAATATAGGCGAAGAAAGGGTCAGTCAATGTGAGCTGACTATATCTTTCATTTCTCGATTAAGGGTGTGTTTATTGGATTGTGATTTAAATAGAGTTTTAGTGACTTTATTATGTAGAATTTTTTGTTATTCAATCAAGATTTTTAAAAAGTTTGTTAAAGTTTGATGTTATTAATTTAAGATTTATAAAAAGTAATCTAAAATCTCGTAAATCTGGAGTTATTAGATTCATACTTTTACAAAGTTATTAAAAGTTTTGTGTTATTCAATTAAAACAAAAAAATCTATAATTGTCAATGAATTAAATTATTATGTTATTGGTTTATGACTTTCTTACTTTTCTTCACAAAATAAAGTCATAAAAAGTATCATCAAAATAAAGAGATTGTTTGGGAAACTTTACAAAATTATGAAATACTAATCAATAAGATTATAAAAAACTCTCGAAAACTCTCTAGCAATAGTTTAAAATCTTTCATTTGTTTACTTTATATGATTTTATTAAAATCATCAAAATTCTTTGTAAATTAGGAACCAATAACATCCCCTAAATATAAAATCTATCCCCGATTATTCAAGTGTCTATGATTTCCAATTTAATCATTTTTGTCAATAACTTAGTCATATCTACGAGATATATATCTAAAGATATGATAAATATTTGGAAGTTGGAGATTTTTTTATTTTTTTTTGTCAACATTTGGAAGTTGGAGATTATCCACAATTTTTGTTTTATATGCTTTTTGTGATATGATATATATTTAGAAATTAGAGGTCATACAAAAATTAATTTTGAATTTTCCATATATTAGAAAAACTGTTAAGATTTAGACAGATTGTTAACATTCTAAATATCTTCTTTAATGTCAAATCACAATTTTTATTTTTTTTGTCAAAATATCAGAAGAAAATCATTTATATAGTACCAATACCTATCAACTATTATGCAGAGAATTCGAAATTAAAATGTAAAAAGATACTGATAATCCATATATAAAACCATAATATAGATTAATGAGATATTAAACCAAAGTCCCGAATACAACGAAGCAGAAAACGACAAAAGATAATCCATGCAATGCAATTGCACAATTATTCTCCTAAAAGCAACAGTCCAAATATCGTAAAAAAAAAACCGAATCAAAGTTTCAAAAGATCTTCCACAAATGTAAACTGAAATTGAATCAAACCAAGGAAGAAGAAGAAGATAGAAATCAGCTCACCGTTTAGAGCCGGTACTGTCACGGGTAAAGAGGTCACATTTAGGCTGAAGCATCTTGCAGAGACCCAAATACGTCAAGTAAAGAACACGATCTTTAGCGCCAGTACGATGACTCTTTGAATGTTTGCAGAAATTCTTGAGCTGTTCCAATGTACAAAAACCCAACGTTTGTCCCAAAAGCAAAAACAACCAATTAATCTGACTTTTCCGTTCAGCAATCACAGGTTTCACAGCTTTTTCACGGCCACAAAGCTCACATCTCCGTTGTTCTGGATTCAGCCAAATCGAAGGAGCTCTTTCCCTCATTATCCTCTTCCTATTTAAGAAAATCTTCTCAACCTCCGCGAATCTCTCCTTTAGATTGTAGCTTACCGGATAAACATTCTCGCAGTGTCGACATTGTACCTCTCCGGTGATGGTTGTGATCTGTTTCGATTCGAGATACTCAAGGCTTTGTATCTGCCCACGGTAATTAGTCGCCCAAGGAAACGGCGGAGAAATCGTACCGGATTTCTGATTTGCGGTGGATTGTGATCTGTAACCACGAACGGAAGCGGTTACTGGTCTGATCGCCGGCGGAGTAGTTAGATTTGACGGAGTAGGAGCGAAACTTGACGGCGGGAAGAAATTAGTAAACAGCTGAGGCGGATTAGGTCTCTGGTGATCAGGATAGTCACTCATCCATGACGGTATCAGATGCGGCGGCGGAGTGGGATAAGGCGGCATAGAACGCGCCGCCAATAAATCAGCAGGTGTTGGCCACGTTGTCATAGGTCCAGCGAACTCCGGTGGTGGAGCTTTACGAACCGGTGACGTCTTCGGACGGATCTTAGAGGAATACGATTTTGAACCCAAGGTTAGTGAAAAAGGAAGCTGCTCGTCATCGTCATCATCATCATCATCAGTCTGTTGTACTTCGTCGTTTCGAGATTCGTTCACCGGTTCTTTGTTGATCGGATTCGTCGTCATGGTTTTCTGGGGAAACGAAACGACGGAAAGGAATAAGACAAAGTAAGAAAAAAATGGAGGTCAGTGGTTTTTCTTTTATGCGTGGTGGTCACTGTGAAATGTCGTACACTATTAACATTTAGGGAAGCGAGAAAACGACGGAAAAATAGGAGAGAAAACGAGAGAAAATGATGAGAAAGTGAGAGAGAGAGAGAGAGAGAGAAGAAAATAGGATCTTTTCTGTTATGCATATACACTCTAAATTTTAAATTAATTCGAAATTTGTCCAAGGTACGCTATTTTATGCCACGTCATTTGTGTGGTGATATACTATTGGACGGTTGTTTTTTGTTAAGGTGAAAAGTGTAAATTAAGGAGAGATTGGGGTTTTTTTTTGTGATAAGAAATCTTAACAAACAAAAAGATTCGGATAAAACTTAATAATAACTTCTTTTCAAATTTTGAAATACTGTTATCAGACAGCTATTATTCAGATTTTGTTTTTTTTTTGTAATTCAGATTTTTAGTTTTGAGTATTTCTGATTTTCAGATTTTTCATTCTTTTCTTTTTACCGCTTAGTATAGATAATGTCTTAATCGTTCATTGAATGAGACTATAGTTCAATTGATAAATCTCTTACAAGATATTTCATTATCTGATAATAGTAATAGATGTTTATTTACAATTATTTTTACGTGTATATTTATTACCAAAAAAAAAAAACACTTATCAATTTTCATACCGTAGTCGTATAAAACTAGTCAGCTGAAATAGTCCAACAATTCAAAAGCCCAATAAATGAGTAGACGCAAGTGTGGCCTTAAACTTAAAATCCAAATATGGATTTTGGAACCACTATTTTTTTTTAGTTTTCCGTGTTTAGTTATTGTACCCAATTATACAAGTGGATTAAGGGCCATTGAAAACCAACCCTATTATATACTTTTTGTGAAGGTCAAGAAGTAGTCGGATTAAATTAGAGCATCGCACCACATTCATAATTTACAAAAACAAAAAAAATGTCAGCTGAAATAGCCCAACAATTCAAAGTGAAAATATAGATTCTTATTTTCGAAGATTGTAATATAAAAAAATCTCTTGAAATCTCCATTGGATTTTTATTTTGTCAACATGAGAGTTTCTGTTAGGGTTTAGTATGCTAGATCCTAGATAGCCAAATTTTACACCTTTATTTACGAAAATGATGCCGTGGAAAAATCGTAATCATGTAGGTTTTGATTTTATGTGTACTAGCATTATGGCCCGTGCTATGCACGGACGTAATATGTTGTTTTACCAATAGGAAAATTTTATTACCGAATATTTCAGAAAACATTTAAAAATGAAAAAGAGAACTAAATTGAATATAGGTGGTATAAGAGCAAATACACGTGTATAACAATCTCAGTCTGAGTCTCATCTCTTGTCTTCAATTATCATCGCCAATTGTGTCTTTGTGATCAGAAACATGGTGGCTGATCTGGAGATTTCACCCTTATAACCGGATCAATAGCCTGATAAATATGTTTGAGAAACCTTAAAGATGGAGATCTTGTGCATACTCTTTCATCGTGCTGTTGTTTTCACCTATAACTTTCTCCATTCTCTTTTATGTCTAACTTGTTGCTGCCCAAAAAAAAATAAGTACAGAAAACCAAAGTTACTGAGTTATAGAAAAGAAAGATATCCTTTTGCAACAGAGAACAAAGAGATTCGAAATTTAGAAACAAAAATGAAATTTAACTATATACCACACTTCTAAGTCTCGATACTGTAGATTCTATTCTGTAACTCATGGGAATGGAAAAGTGGTGTATTCAAAGCAAAAACCCAAACGGTCTAAGACCACTTAATCAACGATTAGCGAAAACCAAAGAAAATAAATGACAGTTACCTTGGATTCATCACGATCTAACAATTTGGTATCCACGATTTGCTCCGTGGAATTGCTCTTTTCCCGGAAATATTTCCCATAAAGCCTTGACATTGAAGCCCATGTATTCGATGTGCCCAACTTCTACTATACCAATATTCACAATTTATACATCTAAATAATATTGAAATTGAGACCCAGAACGATATATGCAAAACGAAGAGATCTACAAGTCTTGAAATTTTACAAATTTGATACCTCAATAATTATTAGTGTTTTGATGAAACCCAGATTTTCTCATTAGAATGATCAAAATGTCGTTACAACGGATATATACAACAACAACATATTAAACCAACCATGAACCGAGATTACATCATAATTAGATTTATAAACCAGACATTCCAGAGTCTTTAAACCGGATCAAAACTATGACTATATACACGTTAATACCCCTCCTCAAGATGAAGGTGCAAATATGTTGCAGATTCCCATCTTGGATATCAACTCTCGGAACGGAGCCGGATACAATGGCTTAGTCAATGCATCTGCCAATTGATTCTCGGTCTTGACATACATGGTCTTTAAGAAGCCAGATTCCACAGACTCCCTGATTTTGTAGCAATCAAGGTCAACATGCTTTGTACGCTCATGAAATACAGAATTATTAGCAATATGCAACGCAGCAATGTTGTCACAATACAGGTAGGCTGGTGATTGAAGTGGAACCTTGAGATCTGAAAGAATGCGAGAAAGCCATATCATCTCCTTAGTAGCCAAAGACATGGCTCTAAACTCTGCTTCTGCGGAACTCATGGAGACTGAATCTTGTTTCTTCGACTTCCAAGACATCAATGAGTCACCAAGAAACATACAATAGCCAGCTACACAACGTCTTGTATCAACACATGAACCCCAGTCAGAATCAGAGAAACCTCTAAAGTCAAACTTATCATCTGCTGGATAGAACAAACCCTGACCAACTGTGCCTTTCAAGTATCGTAAAACTTTATGAGCTGCAGTAAGATGAATATCTGTAGGAGCTTGAGTAAACTGACAAAGAGTATTGACTGCATAAGTAATATCAGGTCTCGTGAGCTGTAGATACATCAACTTCCCCAGTAATTTTCTATATGTACTTGTATCAGGTAAAGGAACTCCTCTGTCTTTAGACAATTTGATACTGGCATCCAGTGGTGTTGCAGAAGGTTTACTGCCAAGAAAACCAGTGATAGACAATAACTCCAGAGTGTATTTACGCTGACAAAGAGATATACCAGCTGTTGATCTTGCCACTTCCAAGCCTAGAAAATATTTAGACTGACCAAGATCTCTTAGCTTGAAATAAGATTGCATAGCAGTAATGAAATTCTTCACTGCATCATCATTGTTACTAACAATCAGAATGTCATCCACATACACCAGAACGCCAAGGAAAGCTCCATTGACAAACTTCACAAACAAAGTATGATCACCTACAGACTTTTCAAATCCCATACCACACAATGTAGAAGAAAGTTTCAGAAACCATTGTCTAGATGCTTGTTTTAAGCCATAAATTGATTTATGAAGCTTACAAACAGCATTAGGTGGCATGACTTCTCCAATAAGATCTGCATATCCTGGTGGTATCTTCATATATATTTCCTCATCCAAATCACCATTAAGGAAGGCATTAGAAATATCTAACTGATTCACTGACCAACGCATTTTAGCAGCAAGAAGATACATCAGACGCACAGTAGTATGCTTAGCAACAGGGGAAAAAGTTTCATCATAGTCTATCCCCTCCTGTTGTGTATACCCCTTTGCTACTAACCGGGCTTTATATCTCTCTATGCTTCCATCAGCGTGATGTTTAATAATGAAAACCCATTTGCAACCAATGGCTTTCACATTATTTGGTAAAGCACAGATACTCCATGTCTTAGTCCTTGTCATAGCACCAATCTCAACCTTCATTGCATCACACCATACCTCATAATCCTTGGCCTCAGAATATCTTTGTGGGATAGGGTTATTTGTGATGGTGTTAACAAAAACACGGAAAGGCTCAGATATATTTGAATAAGAAATATAGTTTGAAATGGGATATACAATATTACTAGTAAAATTATAGCAATGAAAGTCCTGCAAGTGTTTAGGGGTTTTTCTTTGTCTGTTAGGCTTTGAATCGAAAGGAGCCAAAGCCTTGGAAGATGACACATCATGATGAGGATGTGCATCAGAAGATGTTTGCTCAAGAGGCAATTGAACATCAATAGGTGCAGGAGACTGTAAATGAGGAAAGAAAGTCTTTATATCATCCTTGATAGTGGAAGATATAAAAGGGAAAATATCCTCATGAAATATGACATGTCTTGAAATAGAAACAGCATGTGTCTCTATATCTAGTAGCTTATACCCCTTATAACCAGCAGGATATCCTAGAAAAACACAAGCTCTAGCCCTAGGTTCAAATTTATGTCTCTATTTTGGTGAGGTAGAACTATAACATAGGCAACCAAATGACTTTAAGGCTTTATATTCAGGTGGTTTGCTAGTTAGTTTCTCATAGGGTGACATGTTATTTAGAACTGGACTAGGCAATCTATTAATCAGGAAAACTGCTGTCAAAACACAATCCCCCCAAAATTCTAAGGGTATATTTGATTGAAATAACAGGGCTCTAGCTACATTCAATATATGCTGATGCTTTCTCTCTACCACAGAGTTTTGTTCAGGTGTTTCAGGGCAAGAATGATATGCAACTATTCCTTTTGCAGCAAACAATTCAGTGAATCTAAGTTCATGAGCATTATCAGACCTCACAGATTTGACTTTAACAGTATATTGAGTTTCTACCATTTGAATGAATTCAGGAAACACACGCAACACATCAGATTTAGCTTTCAACAAATAAATCCAGGTAGCCCTACTGTAATCATCTACTATGGTTAAAAAATATTTATAACCATCAGTTGTAGGAACAGAAAAAGGACCCCATGTATCTATGTGAAGCAATTCAAAAGCAGTATTACATATGTTCTGTCTTGATTTAAATGGAAGATGTTTTTGCTTAGACAAATGACAAATGTGACAAACATGAGAGTCATTTTTATTTATATCTTTAACATTTTTCAAACTCAATACATCAGCAAGAGATTCAATTTTAGACTGTGAAGGGTGGCCTAATCTCTTATGCCATAAAGTTGCATCAGCAATGAAACTAGAACAAACAGGTGGAGAAGATAAGACAGAACTAGTACCTTTTAAAGAAACTGAATGATCAGACTCATTGAAATCCATAACATATAAATTGCCAACCTCAAGACCTTTACCAATCATCAACTCCTGTGTAATTTCCTGAATA